AGCAGGGGAGATGGGCGGGGTGGGTTGAAGGAGAAAGCAGCCCGTTTGAGAATGAATGGAGGGGCCAAAAGGAGGAGTCTCCAGGGGGGCCTTGCGGGGGTGCTGAAGCAATGGAGGCTCCGGGAACTGTCCGTGGCGGGGGCCGGCCACCACGGCTGCCCCGGGTTTGACCCCAGCTTCCCCTCTTCTCACCCCTCGCCCTCTCCCCCGTGCCCAGGAGCAGCGGGGCCTCGAGGCCGCGGGCAAATTGCAGAAGGAGGCTGTGGCGGAAAGGGAGCGTGCTGAGCAGTCACGAGGTCTGAGTGCTTCCTGTTCCAACGAGAAAACCTGCCCAGGTTCACGCAGCAAGTTGGAAAAGGGCACCCGATTTGAATCCAGGTCCCAAGTGACAAATTCAGTCATTGTTTCCTGCACACCTACTATGTGCCAGGCTCTGTGCTGGGCAGAGGAAGTCCCAGAAGAACAAACCAGAGGCAGCTGAGCAGAACAAAAAAGGGAACAATGAGACAAAGTTTTCCCTGAGCTGAAGTGAGACAGGCGGCTTCAGGCTGAACGGGCTCCCAGGCGCGGAGGGGCATGAAGAAAAGAAGGGAGCCCACAGACCTCAGCTGCGATGCATAGTGGGGATGTCTCAAGACTTTAAAAAGAAAAGAAGATGAAACATTTCTATAAATTCTCATTGCAAGACCAGAAACAAGATGGTATAGCAAAGTCTTCAAGACATTGAACGTGGGATTATGAACTCAAGTCAAGTTTGAAGACAAAATAAAAGTCTGTTTTAGACGTGTAAGATCTCAGAGTCTATTTCCCACCCCTCGATAGATAAAAAATACCTAGAGGTGGTATTCCAGCAAAACAAAACAGTGGGAGGCGGGAGGCAATGTCTACACAACATGTGCAAGGAGCCCGTGTGACCTGTGAGCTGGCAGGTGGGGATCGGGGGAGTCAATGGGCGGGACAGGGCGGGGGAGGCGGGCCATTACCCCGGGGGGCTCATAACGTTCTACACAAACTTCATTTCCTTTTCCATGGTCAGGTCACACTACTTACTTCTGTAGTTGAGTAATATTCTACTTTATAATCACCCTATAGTTCAGAAAGGAGAGGTCACTACAGTTATATGATAGAATATTAACCTTCTAAATCTTAATGTTAAAGATACTAATATACTAAAAGTAGTATAATTATATATAATACCATGTATTATATTATATATACCATATGACATTTGTACTCTATTAGGTATTATACTCTACTAAAAATAGATATCAAAGATATCTATTTTATATCAAATAGATATAAAAATTATCAACTTACCCAAAAAGGGAAACTAAAAAGGGAAAATGTGTGCTAATTTCCCCAGCTTTCATAGTCGGGAGTTAATAGGTAAATACACAAATTCATAAAGAGGGACTTAAATATATTATCTAACATAAGAAACGTCAGCCACCAAATAACTGAAGTCAGAGACTGTGCATCGCGGTTGACTTTGGACTGTGAACCTGTGGGTAGAGGTAGGGAAAGAACGAATACCTTTGATTGTATTTTATTTTATGTCTCGTACATTGTTTGCTTTTCCTTACACATATACTTTAATTCTAATTTTTAAAATAACTAAAATAAATAGTGAAACATCTATATAAGCAAATACTATGTACTCTCTTATGAATACTATGAATACTAAGGGATAATGGAGTAGATCTACGTATCTTGACCTGGAAACCTGTCCATTATGTGACGACCTAGGTTAAAAAAGCAAATTTCTAGAACAGTCTTTAAAACGTCATCTTTAACTGTGTTCAACTAAACGCCAAACCAGCACAGCGTGGCCCCTGCCTGCGGTCTCTGCCCTGTGCCGAGTGGCCTGATCCTGGAAGCCTTCCCTCTCCGATTTCTGTAAGATGTGCATCACCTTCGGCTCTAGGTAGGAGCTATTTTATGAATGTTTCAAGAGCAAATGTAAGCTCTTGACTATAAGTGACCAGTGCAAAGGCTGGCCCGGAGGAGCTGCTCCGGGGACGGAGGCCTTGCCCAGAAACAGCTGATGGAGAAGCAGAGTGAAGACGCGCATGGGAGACGTCCAGGCGTGAGGACTGACAGGTGCTCGCAGAGCCCTGGGCCACCTCCCTCGTTCACAGGTAAAGAGCCGAAGTGGGGCCTGACACAAGCTCGCTCCTCTGGATTCACATCCAGAAAAGAGAGAACAGGGCTTGTGAAAAGCCAGAGTCAGGAAGAGGCCCTGAGAGGCTGAGGACCAGGGCAGGGGCCTGAAGCCACGGCCCGCAAGGAAGCTAAGGGGAGGTGGCGGGCATGGGGAGGGGGGTGCGGTACGTGCGGGGGTGGGGTGTGTGATCCATTTCAGGAGCTGCCCAGGGTGCAGGTGGCTTGTTGACATGAGAAATCAGACCAGATCATGCTTCCTTTGTGCCCTTGGAAAGACGCAGCTTTCATGAGGGCAGGAGGCAGCGTGCTGGGGTGGCGGGGCCCCACAGTTCCACGAGCGTTCGCCATTGTGTGAGGGGCTTTCTAGTGCACTGTCTGGCTAAATCCTCACAGAAGCCGGTGAGGTAAAAGAGACCACGCCAGTTACCTAAAGACAATGATGGTCAGAAAACGCCATTTACTTCACTTGCCCCAAATCCCAATGGCAGAGCTAGGCTCTGTGTCTGGGTGGGTCTGGTTCCAACGTCCCTGCCTAAGGAACCGGAGGAGGCCTAAGGAGCCTCAGTAAATGCGTGAAAACGGAATGACAAGAGGAGTGTCTCCCCCAAACTGGGACACAACCAATCCCGTTCCCCTCCTGAACCCTGGGAGCAGAATCTGTCCGTCTACGCAGCCCAGAAAGGTCCAGGGCGTTGGCTGGCTCTCGGGAGCGAGGCTCTACAATGGCGCAAATGGGGCTCTGAAAACTCTGCCCCCCACCCCAGGGTATCAGCAGTGGAGGTTCCCCTTCTCAGAGCTCTGCGCGCTGCCTGAGGACACTGGGCCCTGTTGTGTCTGGGCGAGGAAGGGGACGGGCTGGGACGGAGCGTCAGCGCCGGGAGGAGGAGAGGCGCTGTTGTCCCCCATTCTTGGTTTCTAGGTCCTCACTCTATATGTGTCCTCCACCAGCCTCAAGGGCTCACTCAGAAGTTGCCCCAGCCTCCCCACGTCTCCCCAGGGGCCTCTGCCTCTACCGAGCTGCCCACTTGGGGGAGGCAGGCAGGCCCAGGAGAGCCTGTATGTCAGTTAGGGTTTGTCATTGACATGTGGAGATCATTAACAAGGCTTATTTTAAAGTTATAATTGCAACATGTAAATGCTCCCCAAACTGATGTGTAATTGCTACCCCCCTCCACCCCAGCCCTTCCCTTCTGGTGCCAGCTTTGCAAGGAGAGAATTAGAAAATAAAAAGGGGGTGGATTATGTAAGCAAAAACGATTTTAAAAAAAGAGAGCAAGAGAGCTAACAATTTAAGGGAGACAGCTGGTCGCTCCTCTGATTGCCACACTTCCAGTATCAGTTGCAGAAATTGTCCCTGCCGATTGCACCCATCCGAGCGAGTGTCAACTGTATTCGGTTCCCAGCACAGACCAGGCTGGCACGATGGTTCAGTGGTCAGCGCGAGTGAGTTGTGGGGAGGGAGTTGGGGTGATAATGAGGGGAGCGCTCTCGCATCCCCCGAAGCCACCATTCCACAGAAAGAACCCAGAGCAGGCGTCAGCACTTGGCCACCCACTCCATCCTCCCCCGCATTCTACCGCATGGGGGGGCAGGGACGCTCCAGGCTCCCAGGCACCGTCTGGCCGGGTTGGACACCGGCATCGCCCTATCTTCTTCAAGCCTCCCACAGCCATCATCTGCAGCGAACTCCCTTCAACATCACTGTGCACACGGGCTCCAAAGGTTGCTGAAAAGGCTGGCACCATATCTCCCAAGTGGGCATCACCCAACCCACACCCACCGAAGCCTGGACCCCTCTAGATGGGCCCTTGTCTCTGGCTTTCATCTCTAGGAGTCACAGCAAGTTCCAGCACGAGCCCCACCTTAAGGCACCTAGAACACAGGGCTCCCCAGACAGCCAGAGGGCATAGCAAGAGGACAGTGGTCACTGGCCAGTTGTGCCACTCTCAGAAGGTCGTCCTCTTGGATACCCGCAGCTTCACTACCTCCCTCCTTGGAAGCCGGGCCCAGGAATGTGCATGTTTCCTTCTCTCCAGGGAAATCAGCTTTGGTGAGGATGTTGGCAAAGACTGCCACTCCCCAAATGACAGCTGAAGACCTGTAAAGGCTGGGTGGTCCTAAGACAGCAGGGAAACTTACAAAGTCCTGGGCAGAGTCCCTTGGGATTGGGGCCCAATCTCACCGTAAGAGGCCCAGCCCTATCATGGCACACTGGCAAGAAGAAAGGGGCTTTGGGTAACTGGATTTCTAAATCCCTGCCTCTACCGATACATCTCCGAGATCGTGAAATCACTTAAGGGGATTTTAAAAACCCTACCTGATAAGAGGATTAAAAGAGATTTTCTATTCAAAATGCTTTCTACATTTTAAAAAACAATTTTCAGAGTTCATCAGAAACACCTGGGATGCAGTTTCCTTCACATTCATCATCAAAACCACGTGGGGTGCAGACTCCTGGGCCCTCACCCAGACACACAGACTCGGAATCCAGGAACTGCACTTCCGGCACACACCCTAGGCGATGCAGAGTGTGCGCTCCAGAGGGCTGAGCCAGTGCTTTCCCCGCGGCGATGGGAGCAGCAGCCCAGCTATCTGTAGCTACACCATTCATCGTTCGCAGGACACGGAGAAGAAAGGGGAGGGACGCGGCGAAGGGCAGTACGCTCGCCCTGTCCCCAGGGAGGGGGCACGGGAGACAAGACCAGAGCGTCTGTATCGACAGTCCGTGTCGTGCCTTCCGAGGGTGTGTATGCAAGTGTCAGCTAATAGGGCAAAGACAAGATCTCCTGCCTGGAGGGCCTAACTACGTGTTAGAGGACAGAAGAGGCATTTCTTACTGTTTGGTGATCCTGGCGGCCTCTGGGATGGCTCTCGGGAGACTCGCCCCCTCGTCTCACTTCCAGCTGGGCCAGAAATTCTTCCTGTCAGCTCCGGCCAACACACCTGCGAGGAAAGGCAGAGCCGCTCTCAGAGGGGAAGGTGGAGGCGAGGGTGCCACGGCCAGCTCGCGACCCGGGTCTGCGCCCGGCCCGCCTCGCCACGGGCTGGCCGGACGGGTCCATCCGTTTGCCCTGCGGAACTTGCTGCCATTGTCGCCCCTCAGGTCTCCCTCCTCGGTGTGGCTAGTGGGGGCCACCCAGTCATTGGAGCGCCCAGACGCTCAGCACAGGGGGAAGTACCCTGCTGTCACCTGTCTGGTTTCCTGACACTGGGCATACGTGTGGCCTGCCCTCCCCCAGGCACGGCAGGCCTCAGGATTTCTGGGCCCTCGTTTTAAACTGCAGGGAACACAGAGGAAGGGGTAGAAGGCATGGCCTTTTCAGGTGTGCACATGGGTTTCCGAGGTCTGGCGTCTGGGGGCCTGGGGAGACTGGCCGGGGCGGGGGGTGCCCGCGGGCGGCAGGGAGGAAGGGTCAGCAGAGCAGTGGACCCAAAGCAGACATTAACGGTGAGGGGCAGGCAGCCTGTGGCCTCAGGGTAGCTTTGGCTACACAACTTACCTATTTATTTTTAGATTAAAGTGAATCAATTTTATTTCTCACTATTTGGACCGAGGTGCTGGGAGACGGAGGCTGGCAGTCAGCACTGTTACATGGCCTGGCCCAGCGTTTCCCAAACACTCACATCCATTTCTCCCTGTGGATTGAGTTGCTAATTTGACCCCAGTGAGGCTGAGCTTTGGGCCGGGGTGGCAGGGCCATGGGGTGGGGGGCTGCTTGGTGCCCGGGCTGTATTTTCAGCAGCATCGGGAGCCTCTTCAGCCAAGAGCCCAGCCCAGCACCAGAGGTAAATGCATCTTTAACAGTCACATTTCCTTCCTAGTTAACACCATCTTAGTTTCCTGGTAAAAACACATTTGCACCTCAGTAAGGAATGTAATTAACTAGTGACAGGACAACAGGAGGAGCCACACAGCGCCTGGCTGGGGGCAGCAGTGGGGAAATGAAAATTCAGACGTTTGCCTGAACAAGGCTTTCCACCTTCCTTCCAGTGTGTGAGTGTGAGAGCATGAGCGTGTGTGAGCGTGAGCGTGTGTGAGTGTGCACACGCCCTGCAGGAGGTGAGGGTGAGGGGGCGGAGGCAGGGCCTAGGGCCCTGGGGGAGGAATGAGTCCTGCCGCGGGGGAGGGAGCTGGGGCAGGCGGGAGAAGGGAGGGGCTGACTAAGCGCCAAGAGGCAGCAGGGTGGTTAACGCCTTTCCATGAGCTAGAGCCCTCCGGTTGAAACCATTCTCTACACACCCCAAATCCTTCCCGAGGTAAGCTGAGGGTGCCAGACATTCAAAGCAGCAAGAGGCTCGGGTCCCCCTCCCCCGCCCTGCATTGTCTGCCCTGGGGCAGCCACCTAGAGGGGCCCGAGGGTCAGGGGCATCCAAGAGAGAGAAAGTTGCCCCACGTCCCACGCCTGCCCCCCCCAGCCCGCTCCTCGTGCTTGTGGCCCGTGAGTTCGGTGAATGACTTCCAGGTCTCTGGCCCCGCAGGCGGCTAACCTGGGAGACATGCCAGATTCTTCCCTCCTCCGCTTCCCACCGCTTTCTAGTCATGGCCTTTTCGCCTTTGCATTCCCAGTGACAAGACCTAGAATGGGTCCTCGCCCCGCTCTCCACCCACCATACTGGCCAGGCCCCCGCCGCCCCCTTGTTCGCACCCCCAGCGAAGCCGGACTCAGCTTCCCGACTTCATCCCGCCTCCGACCACCACGGGGCCTGCCCACACAGCCGTGAGGACCTCGCTGCCCTCGATGGGCTTACAGCTGTGTCACCTCTTCCCCAGGAATGTTAAGGGACTCCTGACTGATAGAAGTAACCAGCAAATGTTCACTGCCTGTCTCACCAAGCGCAGCCTCCAACGTGCCTGCGGTGCGCCCCTACCAGCCTTTCCAGACTCACCCTTCGCCGGTCCTCCGCAGCCTGGCCGCCCCACCTCCAAACACACGGCCTTCCAGGCCCCAGACCTGCGCCGCCTCTCCGGCTGCCCCATCTCCATCTGCCTGAAGAGACCCTAGCCATTCCTCAAATGTTCAACTCAAACATTCTGGCTTTTCCCTTAAAAGCCGGAAGTCATTGTACCCACCGGTGCTTCCGGGTAACACACTGCTATGATTCCCTGTCAGTTCTCGCACATTCGGTCTCACGCAATAGTGTCTCAAGCATCTTTTATCTCTTCCCAGACTGCAAGCTCCTCACAGGTGGAGGCTGTCTGATGTCTGCCTAATTTTTCAGGTTGCAAAGTACTCTCATATGTAATAATCTTTAATGTTAAATGCTAAATATCGATATTTGAATCTAATAGCTCAATTTGTGTTACCTTTACAAAATAATACATGCTGTTGTACAAAATAAATAAGAGGTAGAAATTTTAGGCTAGTTGTAATCAATCCTATAATACAAAAATAACCACAGTTAATATGCGGAGCAAAACCCTTCTTAAAAACACTGTCAACTGCCCTGGCGAGGTGGCTCGGTCGGTTGGAGCATTGTCCTGTGCACCAAGAGGTTGCGGGTTCCATCCCAGGTCGGGGCACACACGGGAGGCAGCCAATCGATGTTTCTCTCTCTCTGACTCCCTTCCACTTACTCTAAAACCAATGAACATATCCTCAGGTGAGGATTAAAAAAAATGCTAAAAAAACCCCTGTCATACTGTAAGTACTGTTCTGTAACCAGCCTTTTATATTTAGCAACATATCATAAATACCATTGCATATAAAGGATATAATATATATTATAATCTCAGTGGCTGTATGACATTCCATTTATGGATATACTAGAATTACTCAGCCAAATTTCTATCGTAGTTATGATTATTTCCAGTTTTTGCTATTATAGATAAATAATACTCGCTCTTGTAGCTGAGTTTCGCTCCAGATTTAATCATTGCCTTAGGGTAAGTTTCTGAATGTGGAGCTGCCGAATCTAACGGTACGGTCATTTTAAAGAAATTTTACAGATTACTTGCAGGAAGCCCCCACCGGTTTACGCATCCGCTCCGCAGTGAGCGAGAGATGCCTGTTCCCTGCTGGTGGCTCTTCCCATTTTACAGACGTGGGTGGGGAGGCTGAGGGAGGCTGAGCCTAGCCGGCAGAAGAAAACAGCCAGCACGTGGCTTGTCTTCTGACTCTAGGCATTTGGCTCTTCCAACCTCCCCACTTCTCTCTGCATGTTTTACCCGTCCACAGGGAGTGCTTGCTGTAGTTGGTGCCAGGTAAACGCTGGGCTCCCCGAGGAAAGGGCAGAGGTGACATGCCCGGAGTGGGGGGCGGGGCCCCTCGGGGGAGTCCTACTGGTGTCTGCCTCCCCGCACCCCTCCTCTCCCAGGTGTCTGAGGCTGGGGGAACAGGAGCTCTGTTCCTAGGCAGAGTTTTACTATTCCCTACCACCTGCCTCCTCCTGGACAGGCGCAAATTGCTTCAATTTAACCTCCATGTAGTAAGAACCACGAGCTGGGGCCTGGGTGTCCGAAGATGAAACACACACACACTCACACACTCCGCCTGTCTTCCGGTGCTCACAACCTAGAGGATGCAGAAACGACTGTACCCTGCGAAGTGTGAATGGTGCTGCTTCTGGCTGCTGGTCTCGCCGCCCCTCCTCCTCTGCCACGGGCCTCAGTGGCAGGGACACAGGGCAGAGTCCGGGGCAGGGTGGCAGACGGAGGAAGCCCTGCCTGCCTGGTGTGTCCTTCGGCCTCTTAGAGCTGCTGTCCCTCTGGCACTGAGGGGCTGGAGTTCCCTCCTGGCGCTGGTCTCAGTCACCTGCTCGTGTTGTCGTCTTTCTGCGCCAGCTGTACCCCTGCACCCCCCACACCCCAAAGGGGGCACTGAACCGAGGAGCTGGGGAGCCTCGGAGAGGAATCACAGCCGTGTTAGGGAAGAGAAGTCAACTGCGGTCCCACTCGGGGACCAACAAAGTGTGTATTTGAGAGAGAAAGGACAATCCGAGGTGACACTGCGTGCCCCACGTGGGGCGTGCTTCAGGGCTACAACACACACAGATTCTTCCTTTCCCAGAACTGGCAGCAGCCTGGCTGCCAGCGGCCTGGAGGAGGCTTCCAGGCAGAAGTACAGCCTGTAACCTCCCTTCGCTTGCTGCCAGCGATTCCGCTGAGCACAGGGAGGGGCTGGAGGGAGAAGAATGGCCCCGCTCCTACCCCAGCCACCTCTCAGAGCCACTTCCCCACCACACTTGCACCCGCCTTGCCCTGAAGGAGGGGCCTGCGTGAGCCTTTATAGACCTTGGTCAGACAGAACCCACCACTTTCCCTGTTGTTGCCATTCAAAGTTCTTCCCCTCCAGAGGTGAGTGACAGCCCACAGGACTACTGCCTCAATCCTGAGACTGGGCTCGGGCCCACCCAGAGGCAGTGGGACAGGCAAAGCGGCAGACAGACAGACAGACAGGGAGGTGGATGGGTGGGAAGACACAGACTCTGCGTGACCTGATGGGCCAGATGTTTCAGGGCACAGATAAGGAGCCAGCGACTTCATCTTCAAGGTGAAGTTCCTTCTGTACCTACAAGATCCCCGAGAAATGGAGGAGCTCCGGCCCCACCCCGTTAGCTTTGATCAGGCCCCTCCCTGCCTATCCAAGGTCATTCTTCCAGGGCACCTCCGACGGGATGAGCAGGCAGCCCCAGGGAGCAGCTGGGCCGTTTCTGCCAACTTGCACTTAAGCTTTTTGCAGATGAATAGGACAAAGGTGAAGACTGAGCTGCTGGACTCTGTCCAGAAAGCTAAACCAAGCCCTGTCCCCTGACCACTTTGGAGAATTTGCTGTACCCTAGTGTCTACCCCAGCAGCAACCCCCCACCCCAAGTCTTCCTCTGCATCAGCCGCAAGGCCTTGAAAGAGTCTGTTCTTTCCCTGGAGGCCACCCGAGGGGCTGTTCTTGCACAAGTACAGCGACGGAAATGTCTTTGCCTTCCAGGTCCTTTCAGACTTGACCCTT